ACAGGAAGGCCTGGCACGATATGGTTCATGGGGTCATGAAGAGTTGGACACGACTTAATGACTGAACAACAACAAAAAAAATATTTTCAGCTAATGTTGCAGCAAGGAGGAAACAGATGCTGGAAAGAGGCTAAGTGATGCACTGGGTTATTTCCCTCTGTTTATGATCACCCTAACACCGGAAGGAAACCCCATGGGGCAGGGGGCAAAATATGTAGCCTGGGGGCTCCATGCATTCTGCCAGCATCCCTATTCTTCCCCACCCCTCGGAAAGTTGCAGATCAAGAAGTGTCAAGCTGTATCTTGCCACCTGATTCGCCAGCCCACCATCCTCCAGTCCAAAAACAAAAGATCTCCCACTAGGAAGGGCATCTAGGAGGGAGGATCAACATCTGAAAGTTGGTGGGAACAGCATTGGGATCCAAGCCCTGCTCTTTTGTATCACACACATGTACAAAAATGCAGGGCTTCAACTGGGATACTGCACCTGCCATCCTATTTATTTTGATTCCCCCTGAATAGAGAGTAAAGGAGGTGATCTTGATGGAAATATTCAAAAACTATTTCATAAGCAAAGAGAGCTGGAACCTCCTTTAAGTCCTGGGAAGCAAGATCATATTCTGAAGCAGCTCAGGTAGGCTCCTCCCTGACCCACTGGGATATAAGAGGAAAGGGAGATAAAGTACAATCAGGCTTGTAAGATTCTGTTATTATAGCTTATCTTAATAAAGTATCATTCTAGTCTTCCTGGGGAGTTCATTGTCTGGTTTGGTTTGGTCTGGTCTGATCTACCAAAGAGGGGCTGACACCCTGCGGATGCCCCCACCACTGTGGGTGTGCCTATAAAAAATACAAAATCCAGGCTTCACCTTGTCTGTCCACTGTTGCCTTGCCTGCCTGAAGAAAGTTGTGGAGAGCCTCAATGCACTTCGTCGTCAGCAGGTTATGAAGTGTAGTGGTTGTGCCATTGTCTTGGTTGAGGAAATCCTGAATATAAAGACCTGTCTTATCTTTCTTTAGGGCGAACCACATGCTCTTATCGGCTTGGTAGGTAACCACAGCTTCTCCATTTAGGGCAGCATCATAGAAAGCCCTTGTCAACCCAATGGAATCAGTTTCGCAGAAAAGCAAGGACTGGACAACGATAGGATCTGGAGGTTGAAATATGGAAGGAAGCAGAGTTATGAGGCTTTCCCTACAAGTTTCTAGCCTTTCTTACAGGACAGCACCACTAGTCTCAATCTACATCCAGAATGGCCTTTTGGGAACTGACATTCCACCATATCTATCATCTACCTGTCTATCATCTGTCTACCTACCTACTTACCTAGGAGTTGACATCCCTATTATCTATCTAGGAGTTGACATCCCTACTGTATTTATCTGCCTATCTAGGAGTTGATATCTATCTATCTATCTATCTATCTATGAATGAATGAATGAATGAATGAATGAATGAATGAATCTTGGAGTTGATGTCCCATCATACCTACCTACCTACCTACCTTTCTTTCTTTTTCTTTCTCTTTCTTTCTTTCTCTTTCTTTCTTTCTCTTTCTTTCTTTTCTCTTTCTTTCTCTTTCTTTCTTTCTTTTTCTTTCTTTCTCTTTTCTTTCTTTCTTTCTTTCTCTCTTTCTCTCTTTCTTTCTTCTTTCTCTCTCTTTCTTTCTATCCCTCCCTCCCTCCCTCCACCCCTCCCACACTGGAAGGCAGTAAG